TAGAGGGCTATTTCCATCTTCAAACTAAGATTCCTGCAAGGATTTTTAAAATGTGTAAGAATCGCCCTGACCAGTTTGGCTCAGTGGATAGAGCATCGGCCAAACGGTCCCAGGTTCGATTCCGGTCAAGGGCATGTACCTTGGTTGCGGGCACATACCCAGTGGGGAGTGTGCAGGAGGCAGCTGATCGATGTTTCTTGCTCATCGATGTTTCTAACTCTCTATCCCTCTCCCTTCCTCTCTGTAAAAAATCAATAAAATATATTTAAAAAAATGTGTAAGAATCTTTGAGCAGGACCCAGGGAAACAGTGTAGCCTATCAAAATAGCTAATCATTGAACTTTATAAGCGGGCCTGTTGAAGTAAGAAGTTTAACTCACGTTGTTGCTGGGGGCTGTAAGGCTTTTTAAAGCAATTTATATGAACTCCTTACATTCCAATATTACTTTTCTTTCAGGAGCTCAAATTATTTTATGTATTTCTTTTCAATATTCTGTGATGCAGAGCCAGCTATTATCATTTCCCTTGATAAACAGGGAAACAAATTACCTGCTTTAAATTGCAAAGAGATTTAATATCAGGTTTGAACTCTGGGTTCCTCCTTTCCACTGGTCTCTGTTGTTTAAGTGCATGGCGACTTTTCTGGAATTGTCAAATATGAAACCTTGAAGGGATTATCATCATAGTTTTTGATATAAGGACCAAAAAACGATCATTCTCCTTCCTCTAGAACAGGGGTGGGGAACCTTTTTTCTGCTAAGGGCCATTTGGATATTGATAACATCATTCACGGGCCATACAAAATTATCAACTTAAAAATTAGCCTGCTATATTTGGTCAAACATTTAATTAACTCCCCCCTAATTCCTTGGCAGGGTCAGACCTTATAAGGCCCTTGGGCCAGACATTCCCCAATCCTGCTCTAGAACCTTTGCCTGAGCAACTCAAAATACTCTGCAAATATTAGTTCTCTACTTGCTGACACAAGTCCTTATAAGGAAGCTTCTCTTTGCATTTTCAGATGTATGAACTGAAACCGGTTTACTGGTTCCCAAAGTATCTACAACGGGGTTGGTAACAGGAATAAAATAAGATTGGATCTTTAAACCACAAACTCTCTTCCTTTTCCAGAGAAGTTGTGATTCCTGATATTCAACCTGCAGGCTGGTACAAAGGATGGTTTCTCTGGTTAAAAGGCCAATCTCAAACGACAAATAATGCAGATTAATTTGCCTAGATAGTCATGCGTTTGAGATCAGTATAGCGGATTAAAGGTGAATTAGCAACTGTGTTCTAAGATTTTAAAGAAATTTTGAACAAGGTGGAATTTTTTCTTAAAAGATAAGTATTAATCAGGATGGAAACTAATCTCTTTAAGGCAAGTCATTATTTTCTGTTCAGTCAGAGGATAAAATATTATATACCATAATAATGACTATGGGACAGATGAAATAATTCAGCCACGAATTATTCTCCAAAAATAGAAATGAGAGCAAACAAAAACATACTATACATACAGACACACCCTGCTTTAAATATATCCAACATGAAAACTCAAATTTTCTAACAAAGAAAATGAGCGTGTGGCTCTATTTCAAAGGATTCATTTGCTTCACAAAAGGAGGTGGGTATCTTTCCTAAACCAAAGAAATCTGTGGACTTGGTCTGGAGCCTCCACTCTACTGCATTCTATGTGTCTGGTCAAATCACTGAGCTGCCTCAGTTTCCCTCAATTCCAACTACTAACAGAGTTGCTGAGAAAGAGGTTTACCTGAGAAAGCACTCATTCAAATGCTTTGAAAATGTAAAGCAACATGCAAAAATGAGGTATGGTTTTTAAAACAGAATTTGGATCACAAAAAATTTATATTTCACACTTTTTCTTGAATTAATCTATTCTAGAAGGAGAAATAAGCTAGTATGCAAGCTTTCCATTGTGTTGTACCTCAGAGCTTTTATTCTGGTAACTTTACCAGTGATATTGAATTTGATTTTTTTTCTGGTATTTTTTTTCTTATTAAATTTATTGGGTGACACTGATTAATAGGATCATATAGGTTTCAATTGTATATCTCTATGATACATGATTTGTATATTGCATTGTGTGTCCACCACACAAAGTCAAATAGGCTATTTTTTTTTCTTTTTATTGATTTTTTTAAATTTTTTTTTTATTGCTTAAATTATTA